CCTGGGGCCCCCTTGAAAGGGCCTTGTGGCACCCCAGGACACTGCAGGCCCCTGGTTTGAGAACCGCTGCTTTAAGGGAAGTTTTCTGGCCGGCCCTTGAACACTGCCTCTGGCAGCTCCCAAGACAGAGACTTTCCTTCCCGAGGCTGGTGAGGAGAGAAGCCTCCGCAGCCCCCACAAGCCCACAATCAAATGAAGCCGACCGGCCACCAGCAGCGGAGCGTGGGGCCCAGCCAGCCAGTCCCGCGGCCCGTCTGCAGCGCTGCGCGGCTCGGGACCTTGCCCCAAAGCCCGGGTCACCGCACGGCCGGCGCCAGCTGCGGGAGACAGCACCTGGGACCCGGCCCCACCAGCCGGCTACAGTGAGACCGTGCCCCTCGCGCAGACGCGGGGCGGGGCGGGGCGGGGCGGGCCGCACCTTACCTCACCTGGGCGAGGCGGCAGCGTTACGTGGTGGCGGCGGAAGCTCCCGGTGGCGGGCAGCGCCTACCCCACTCAGACTGCAACCACCCCATCCCGCAGCCGGAAGTGCCGCCCGCGGCGAGCTAGCCGTCCCGGCGTCGGCAACTTCCGGTGAAGGCGGGGCCTCCCGGCGGGGCGGGGCCTCGGTCCCGGGGGAGGGGCGCGCGGCGGTCCCCGGCGGGCAGTGTTTCCAGGTTCGCGGGATCAATCGCAGCTGTAGGACTTTGGCCCTTGTACGCTGTCCAGAGCAGGTAGAGGGTGGGAGGTGATTCCCTGGGGCACCTCAGCCACCTTTCGTGCCAGAGTTGCTCTGTGATGTGTAGACTAGGCAGGCTTCTTCCCTGGAGGTGTCCTGTGCCGGCAGGGAGGTAAACATTTGTTCTGTTCGGTTAGCAATGAAGTTTACGTTTCCGAACAGCTCAATACGGTATCATCCATGTTTCCATGTAACATGTATCCCTGAAACATGGAAGATGAACCTCCCCTGTACACAACGAAGTTTCTTTTCCACCTAGGGGTGTAGGTTGTAGCCGTGTTGGTCTATGGACATAGAAAAAAAATGTCCAACTATTTAAGTTGGTCTAATAAAAGATACCAGATTCACCCAACGAACCTTGTCTACCCTTTCCATCTAGGAGCACTTTTCCAATCTTTGAGTTCTCCTCAGCCTGAAGAAGGGTGTTTGGCCCCAAAAGCTTGCAACAACAGACATTTTTTTGCTACTATTCAGTTGGTCTAATAAAAGATACTGCCTCTAACCCAAGAGCTTTGTTTATCTCTCTTTCTTAACCAACATGGTTATAACATATATCCACAAAATGTACAATGACTTTTGAGACAGCTAATTGATACAACATGTGCAAACCACAAGTCATTTTCAGGGAGCTTTAATTAACTTTTGGGCTTGCATTTTCTTAAAAAAATATATATATATATATATAGAATCATAGAATCATAGAAGTAGGGTCGGAAGGGACCTTGTAGATCTTCAAGTCCAACCCCCTGCCTGGGCGGGAGAAAAACTGGACTCAAATGAGTCCAGCCAGGTAGGCATCAAGCCTCTTCTTAAAGATCCCCAGAGTAGGAGCCAGCACCCACCGCCCTACGTTCCAGCTCCTACCCGCCCTAACTGTGAAGTAGTTCTTTCGGATGTCTAATCTAAACCTACTCTCCAATAATTTGTGTCCATTGTTCCTTGTCATGCCAGGGGGCGCTAGGGGAAACAGTGTCTCCCCCAAACCCTTCTGGTCCCCCCTACTGAGTTAACAGACAGTCACCAGGTCCCCCCTCAGCCTTCTCTTGTGAAGGCTGAACAGGTTTAGGTCCCACAGTCTTTCACTGTAGGGTCTGCCCTGTTGTCCCCGGATCATGCGGGTGGCCCTCCTCTGGACCCTTTCAATGTTGTCCACATCCCTCCTGAAATGGGGCGCACAGAACTGGACGCAGTACTCCAGCTGTGGCCTGACCAGCGTCGCATAGAGGGGGAGGATCAATTGTGTCAAATCCAGTCCAAATCCATGAGTCAGTGCTTGGAGTTTGGATGCCCCTAAGTTTCACCTGCCCTCAGCTATACAGCTGCATAAGCAAGCTAGGGAGGAGCCTCCCATTTCCATAAAGTGGACTTTAAGCCCCAACACCTTGGCGGGTACTAAACCACTCCAAAAGAACAGTTATCCCCAAGAATGTTAAGGAAAACTACCTCCATGGACTCAGATTTTTTTTTTTGTAAATATATATGGCTAAATATCAGGAGGCGCTACTTCACGGTCAGGGCGGCTAGGATCTGGAACCAACTTCCAAGAGAAGTGGTGCTGGCTCCTACCCTGGGGGTTTTTCAGAGGAGGTTAAATGAACACCTTGCTGGGGTCGTTTGACCCCAGTACTCTTTCCTGCCATGGCAGGGGGTTGGACTAGATGATCTACTCAGGTCCCTTCCGACCCTAGAAACTATGAAACTATGAAGTTATATATATCTACACTCTGAGTATCACCCCACAAAGAAAACCTTAACCTGTTACAAAAACCTCACCTGCACAGCCCACACACCCATACATGGACCCACTGGCCTCCCAGACCCATTACAATATCCTCTTTGCATGCTACATACACAAACAAATTCTGGTCTCTCAGGCCAGGCAACCCCTTCCTTTCATCCCCACCCCACTTGCGGGGTCATATACGTTCACCTGTTGTCCATGTCACTGTCACTCCAGCTCCTGCTGGAGGACCCACTGCTGCTGTCACTGTCCTCAGTTCCATTTGTCTCTCCTCTTCCTCACTGTCACTGCCCCCTTCCCCGCTAGGGTGAAGTTGAAAGATCCTGTGCCATGTGCCTTTGTGCCAAGTGGCTTTGGCCGTGTCTGGTCTTTGGCCATTGTCCACCACCACTCCTGTCTCTTGGAGCATTATCTTTGCCTCAACCCTTACTTCAGGGTCTTTCAGGGCACCCCTTCCTTGGCCTCAGAGCCTCTAAGGGCCAGTCTTTATCAAAGGGGTATTAGAAGACCCCTTCATAACAGGGTCAAAAAAAGGAAAAAAAACCCACGGCTTTCACCCTTGATCCAGGGCTGTGTCTGGTCTACCCCTTTTTCTTACAGTCTTCACTGTCCCTTGACATGTTCCATTGCCCTTGGCTCTACTGGAGGCTCTCCCTGGTGCCCCAGCTCAGGATCACTTGGCATCCACTGGTGTAGCACCCACCCAGCAGGGGAAGCACCTCCAGAGTCTGTCCGCTGCAGTCCTGTCCTGGCATCTCCCTCGGCGCTGGCTTTTATCCTTGCTGGACAGCCTCCAGGGATGATGACACTGGCTTGTGCCAGCTCAAGTCCAAAGTAAGCATGGCTCACATATTGCATGGCCATTTCAAGAGGGCGCATTGTGTCTGCTCCTCCATTGCCTGAAACAGGTAAGTTTGCCCTGGTCTCAAGGCTTTTTATGGAGGGGTGGGCTGTCCCATACCCTGTCCCACTACGGGAGTCCCCCTTCTTCTGGTGCTTATCTTCCCAGGACACCCTTCAATAAGTCCAGCCTGGTAATGTTGTGTGAGTTCCTGATACGCTCCACCAGCTGAGCAACATGGGACATTGGGAAGGCATCAAAGACCGCTATCTCATTTAGCCTTCTATAATCAAAGCATAAATGGAGGGTTCCTGT